ATCTACTGAATTAAAAATGTTCAATAAACGTCATGCAAATACAGTTTACGTAAATCAGTTCGTTTAATTTTCCGACTACATTTCAAAGTTTTACTGAGCGAAAGTCAGGGTGAATGTTACATTAATACAAGAAATTTGTCTTTCAAGGCCCTAGAAATTTTAAAGCGACATCTCCAAGCAAAAGAATGTAACAATGAGTGATAATTATCGATATTTCACAGATCTGGCATTTTGGGATATTCCCCTTGAACAACGCCTTTCTGTGACGTAACTCAGCGGATATATATTTTTACTATCGCTTCACGCGCCAACAAATACATGATTGCACCAGCAAAGCTGTAACTAAATAATGTAAAATTTCAAAGTGAAAATGTTTGTAGTCATAGCAACGAAAGGCATTGGGGGATCTTCCACCTATCACACATAAAACAGCTACAGAGTCAATAAGGAGTTAAGATCTGGGTGCTAGAGCCCGTAACGCCACAGATTCAACAACCACCCACCGTCTATAGCCGGTTGTGAGTATGGTAGTTAACCCTAAATACATAATAAACCAAGAACTGTATAGTTCAAATAGTAATGTTCTTCTTTATCTATTAATAAAATCTGTTAAAACTACAAGATATAACTAACTAATATACTTCTAATAATACATATAATGTTATAAATTATAAACTTATCTATAGAGTCCTTGTATAGATAATTGTGAAACACACACACAGATGTATCTTTTCGTAAGCAAAGGAAAACATACTGGCTTGGCCTGATTAAATTTGTACTTTTTTACACGTAGTTTGATTCTAAAACTTTGAAGAATATTGCGAATTAAAATCACAATACAAAACAAAGTGACTGAATGCGCGAGATTAGAAGTACATTTTGAAAAAAAAAAAGTAACACCATCGCCAAACAACCGCCGCCTTACCACCACAAATACACACACACTTGTGATTGGTACAATAGTAATATTTCATTGCTTCTTAGGCCTACGTCCGTCCCTTCTTCACCATCTAATTTCCTCGAAAGGGAGCTGAAAACCGCCTGGAGGAGTCACCTGTTTTAACCATTCGCACCAGTAGTGTGTTGTCTGTCAGTCAGTCAGCAGACATTAAAATAACGTCACATAAGGGACGCTTAAGGTTGCAGTTTGTCCTGTCGTGACGTCAGTAAAACGTGCCATGAATCACGAGAATTATGCACTCTGTAGGTAACAATACGGGATGACATATGAACTTAATAAGCAAGAAATAAAACTATTTGTTACTCTGTATATATATATATATATATATACTTCACATGTTTTAACGTGAATCTATTAGCATTAGTTACTCGTTTCAAAAATAGACAGAATCATATTAGTCAATGTTATATTGGGTAATCTTATTTTTCATATCATTTTTTTTAACTGTCAAGTAATTAAAATATTGATAGAAATATTTATTTAATCAAATGAACTGATGAACAGTGTGCCTATGCTCCCCCTCATGGTTCAACGGTAAGTCTGAAGACTTAAAACACCAAAAACCGGGTTTAAATACCCGCAGTGGGCAGAACATTGTGGAGCTTTGTATTTAACAACAAACACAAGCACAAACATATACTTTTTCTTATTACAAGTTACAGATTTTACAGAAAGGAATATTTTTTTAAACATGTTGTTACGTCAGCGGAAGCCACGTGACTCTGGAAGCAAGAGCGCCGGAGTTTCTAGAAGGATTATGACTGTTCCTGGCAACTCTAGTCTTTTCTAGGCGCCCTCTATTTTAGTATATAAGCCCGGCAAATAAAGCGGAGATATAATAGCAGATAGTGAGATATAGAGACAAATAATTGAGTCAAGCGAGCGGTAGTGACCGTAAGTAAAGTGTCTGAATCGTTGTGAATTATAGCGTGTTTTTAAGTTAAAGTAACTGTGGAAATTCTTTGTAATGCAAAGTTGTATTGAGAAAGAATAAACTAGTTTTATTTAAGAAAGGACTTGTATCGCTGAAGGTCCTCGGGAAGAATTTATACCGGAAATTAACAAACGACCAGAGACGCAACAAATTGGTGTCAGAAGTGGGATGAAAACGAACATGTGGTGGCCTACTTCAGTAGGGTTTTGAGTAGACCAAAAAGGAACTACTGTGTAACATGGAGGGAACTCCTTGCTATAGTAAAGAGTCTGACATATTTCCATCATTACCTCTATAGGGCTAGGCTTACCATCAGGACAGACCATGCTGCATTACGCTGGTTAAGATCATTAAAGAACCCAGAGGGACAACTGGCACGTTGGATCGGAAAGGTAGATCAGTATAATTAAGATATTGAATACAGAGAAGGAAAATCTCATGGAAATGCCGACGGACTAAACCGAAGACCCTGCAAAAATGACTGCAGACATTGCTGCAAAAGAGAGGTCAGTTAAATATTCTGGGAGAGGATGTCCTTTCTTTATGGTCGTATTTCTTGCCTTAACATTGACTGGCTCCTGGCACACACCCAACAAGGTAAAACATTTCGATCACTGGTGCCATCATTCTCAAGTACACGTGTTGTGACGGTAGAGAAGGTTATGTATTTAAATCAACGTTCACCAATCTAGTAGTGTGTTTAAATTCGAGAAGTGATACTGGTTACTTATGTACATGTATATCAATTCGCGTGAATTAACGGATTATTTATTTATAGCTGAACACGTAAACAAACAAACAAACAAAAACGGAATAAGCATGAATATGTTGTGCGAAAGTTTTGTATAAGATTAAGATTAAAAACAAAGATTAACAAACACCCAGACACATCCCTATAGGTTTGTTTGTCTGGGAAAACAAAGATTAACAAACACCCAGACACATCCCTATAGGTTTCTTGTCTAGGAAAACACAGATTAACAAACACCAAGACACAACCCTATAGGTTTTTCATTGTTATTTCCCCAAGCATACTTGAGATGTACAGCACAGTGATCGAAACTTCAAGTAAAATATTAATCATCAAAGCCCCCCCCCTCCCACCGTGGCTCAGCAGAAGTATTGCCTGATCTAAAATATGAAATTCTCACATTCAGAAAAAATATCGCACATTGCATATATTTAAGAATATTCCAGATGAAGTCTGTTTTTTTTTTTAATATATATTTTTATACGAACTATGACATAAAGTTGACCTGCCCTGCTTGATACCACCCTCTATCACGTTTTGTTTAACTCTTTGTTCTCCTGGAAACACTATAATTATTACTAGGATTATTCTTTGGTATTTGCTTTGCTGTTCAAATCTCTTGTCTAACACTAGTATAGTACTTTAGTTAAAACATTTAGAAATCATTTACACGCGCTCATCTTCAGCCCTTGCTTGCTGTGCTAATCCACCTGCGCACTTATTTCACAACACTGTGTGAAGGCAGTTAGGATTGAAGTCCTCACAATACACGAAGACAATAGATCATATGATCATGTAGTTCAGCACTGAATAACCGGTTGTCGGTGACGTCAAACCAAAACCAAACCTAAACAACGTGGTAATAATTTTGAATTAAAAACGTTTAATCCTTTAGAACTGAACACAATCGAGGATGTTCAGAAAAGTTTCTCTTCATTCCCACTCAAGATATTACGAATTAGAAAAAAGTACTCGAGAAATAATAAAAATAAAGAAAGAAGAATATAAAATAATAATAACCTTGCATATTTGATTTTTCAACTTGAATGTCAAGCAAGAAAACTGATGGCGGCACCAGGGTGCGCTATTACGCGAAATCAATTGCCCCTTAATGATGTTTATTCACTGACCAACCGAAATGGTCTCACTACTGTTCCGATGACAGTTCCCTCATCAGAACCTCTCGGCATTTTCTCTCAACGTTACCACTGGACCTCACCACCTGTGTGTGAAAACAGACCGATGGACAGGTTCACCGTGGAATTAGGTGATAAGGTTTGTAATTTAAGCACAAAGCTACACAATGGGCTATCTGTGCTCTGCCCACCACGGATATCGAAACCCGGTTTCTATAGCGCTGTAAGTCTGAAGACATACCGCTGTGCCACTGGGGGGCAGGTGAGAAGAAACAGAGCTATAGAACACACTATGCTCATTTGGTCTCAGAGAAACCTCACTCCCTAACAGTCCTTGTCCCGAGGTCACTGGGGGGGGGGGGGGGGGCGGCTCCGGACACCGCAAGAGCCGTGGTGCTTCTCCGAGCTTAAATTATAATAACATCATTGTGTGCTCAAATTCGATTACGAGGAACCCACTTTGAGACTAATAATGGCTGGAGACGGCTTGAATGGGTAATGAAGAAAAACTTTAATATAACAGCAAATGTACAACGTTTCGACAAGGTTTTGCAATCATCATCGTGTGTGTTCTTGTAGAACTGTACATCGTTTCCGGCAAGAGTTCCGTCTTTTACCCCATGCCAGAAACCTACGTTACAAGAATTATTTGGCTGACCCCTAATAGTAACAACGTGATGAGATGTTTCAAATGTCATGACGTGACAAAGTTATCGTACATATGGTAACACTGCTCAGCAGTAAGCTTGAGTACTTTTGAAGAAAAAATATTTAATGAAAAGTTTTATTGGGACATGTGATCTGTTGATAATCAAAAGTTTACTTCTGAACGTTGCATTAGTGATAAAAAGTTCAAATAATAGTGCTTTAATTTTGATACTTAATTAAATACCGGAATATTAAGATAATATCTTATTCGCCTGAAATTAAAGTTTAAAGTTGGTTTGATTTGATTTTGAATTTCATGCAAGGTTACACGAGGGCTATCTGCGCTAGTCGTATCTAATTTAGCAGTGATAAACTATGGGGAAGGCAGATAGACAACACCATCCACCGCCAACTCTTGATCTACTCTTTTACTAACGAATAGTGGGTTTGACCCCGCGACCCTCAGATTGCAAGTCGAGCGCTCTAACCACCAGACTATGGCGCAAAGTTAGATATGGTAGAGATGAATTTTTTTGTTGCTAGAATATTAGGTTTTCAAGGTTTGACAAACTTATTTATTCTGAGATTCATTTTAAATCCTAAAATGTTAAAAGCTAGTTTTGTTTGTTCGTCGTTAAGCATAAAACTACACAATTGGCTCTCTGAACTGTGCCCATCACGGGTGTCAAAACCCGGTTTTTTAGCTCAAAGGTTAAAATTAACTGGTACATGGCTATCTTGGTATAACAAATGGTAACTTGTATACGATTATCTCTGGCGTTTGTTCAATGTTTGTGTGTATTGTATTGAAATAGGGGTAAATATTAGTGTACTCCTGTAATGTTTTGAAACACGTGTATTATCTATTACAATAATACTCGGTTTTTGTCTGTCCTGAAAATGCGTGCACCTTACTATCTAAATGCGCATCCGCGCGCTCTTCATTTTAACGGATGTAAACAAAAGGCGGACGTCGATATACTTTAGTGGACATTTTGTACAAAAACATATTTAATGCTTATCAGAGTTTTTAAAAAGATCTAATGTTACGTCTTAGAAAAAAATATACGTTCATATGTTGATAGTATTAAATATGGTAAAATTTACAGGTTAGTGTTAAGTTACCTTTTTATCGAATATAAGCTGCACTTAATAAAGGCTTAACTAATGTTAGATTACTTCAAGAAATAAAATAATTGCGTAGGCGAGGAAATAACAAAATGCAAGATAAAATATAAAGTAGTGGTAAAAATTCGTCAAATTAAAATAACTTTATTAATAAAACAGCCCCCCTAGTAACACAGCGGCATGTCTGCGGACTTATAACGCTAGAAACCGAGTGCCAATTTAAACATAAAAATAATTCCGGACTAACTTAAATTTGTATGTCCGAAGCTTGCAAAAATTAAGCAAAGCTTAATGTAACAAGAAGTTCACAAAGTTAATGAACTTTGAAGTATAATTTGAATTTCTATAGAGCTTAAAGTTAGGCCTATATCGGTAATGATGAATTGTTATATTTGAAAGCTTAACGTTACTACTTTAAGCCTAAACCTACGCCCATGTACGTTCTGTGTTAGGCCTACCACAATAACACAAGAACTGACAGTTTTATCTTAGTACTAGGCCTATTAAAGTGCATTTAGCCACATAATGTCCGAAGAACCAGAATTAATACTATGTTTTTGGATAACATAAACCATAATAAACTTCAAAAATGATATATCTATACATACTGGAGCTGGGGGACCTAATGCATAACCCATTGGCTGTTGGACATAGTCCTCATACAAAACGTTTTATTACGTACATAATATATGATATTATTAGAGAAGTAAAGTCAACACCAGTTTTAACGAAAAACAGAGTCGTGCGACTTGACTTTAAAAGGTTCAACAAGTCCAATTCTCCCTAATAATTAAGACCACATTTCAGTCTTGCCCAGTGAAGACCAGTTTCACGTATAATGGCATGTTCCTCATCGTAGCACCTCCCCATCCAATTATACCCTGTTTTTGTTGCACTCTGATCGGTAAGCCTATGTGAGTTATAATGTATAGGCTAGGCCTATGTAGCTTATTGTCACTCGTATACTTACTAGACATTTCGGTAAGTCCAAAATGTAATAATACTAACAGTAAATGATTAGCAAGTTTTTCAGACAAATTTTATTTAGATGTTACTAGGAAACCAGCTTTTTAAAATTTTTACCACGTCTTTTATGCAGTAAACAATTTGGTGTTTTAAATATAGTTTTGAGTATATACTGTTGCGTCAGCGAGGACACGTGACTAGTATTACGCTTCCTCTTTCTAGAAATATCCTGTTCCTTCAAGAAAGCCCTAGCATTTACTAGATATGTGTTAGTCTTGTATATATAAAACGTTCACAACGTGACGGGACAACAGGGTAATGAGTAATTGAGCTGCAGTCAGTGTGTGTGTAATTGAACGGAGTATTGTTGAAGTCGAGCTCGTGAGACGTGAGTTATAGCGTTTGTTATAGAGCGACTGTTGAAATTAAGTGTATCGTAAAGTTGTATTCGGAAAGAATAAACCAGTTTTATTTAAGAAAGGAGTTGTGTCGCTAAAGTTTCGTCGGAACGAAGTTACGGAAAACTAACTAACAAACGGAGACGTAACAATACTTTTATCTTTTAATTTACAGATCTACATGTCTCAAAAGGAGCTGAAAACAGTTGGACAATTAACCCAGCCTTACAGAGACTCAAAGGATCTCGATAAATTGGTAGAATGTTTCTTTACTTGGAAGGAGGTTTGTGATCATTGAAATTATAATGTTTTTGTATTTCCCTCTAGAGGCTCTCATTCCCGAACATTTTTTTCATTCTCCTGAACCGGGAAATTTTACGGTTATTCCCGGGATCCCTAGAATTGCCGGTGAATGTTTTTAAATATATTTTCAAACTGGCGATAAAGAACATATGTGGTCTAATACACTGTAAATAAAATATTGAAAACTACTAATTTTCATTTTATAACACAAAAAAATTTAATTCAAATTATTTTTTGTTGCTTTTTCACAAAATAGCATTTGAGAAAGCATAAGGCATTAATAGCTTTATCTTTAAGAGACTTGTTTGTTTGTTTGAAGTTAAGCACAAAGCTACACAATAGGCTATCTACGCTCTGCCCACCACGGGTATCAAAACCCGATTTCTAGCGGGTAAGTCCCCATAAATACCGCTGTGCCGCTGCGGGGCTTTAAGAGACGATTGCTGCTTAATTAAAAAGTTTCCTGAGATTAAAAACACTCGCTCACTTTCTGTTGAAGTCAGTTTGATTGTTTTTAATCCATATTTGAGTTTCTACAATATATCAGTTAGTTCTCCGGTCAGCTCATACATTCCTATTTCCTTGTTTAAAGATTAATTGTAATCAGGAGTCGAGGTCTTAGTTTTAAAATAAATCAGTCAGCAAAGTTTAAATCCTAAAATTTTAGAAACAAAATTTAAAGAATTAAGATCAGCTGTTAGGCAACGCCCCATTTCTGTTTGTCTAGATCTAGTTCGTGATCCCCATCGTCCACGTCCGACTCCTCTTGGAACTCTTCTTCCTCTACCACGAATTTCATTATTGTTTCTAATATCTAAATTGGTATCATTATCTCTAGCAAATCGTCCAAACTCTCTTTATTATCTGCAGGTCTAATAGCAGTCACTACACGTTCCATTACCCAATTACTAGAGCTAGCAAAAACTTGATGCTCACTTTTATCGTCCATTAATTTCTGTTTCTTTGCCAGGATATTCCTCTCCAGGTTCTGGATAATGTTTAATAATTTCTTATATTTCTTATCCAAAGACATAGAAGAAAAGTGAGGGCCGCGACTTGCACCGGGCGTCGCCATTTTGAAAAAAAAAAAAAAGATCACACTCGCTTCAATTTTTTTTCATCTTGAACCAAAATTTCCAGTTCAAAAATTTTCCGTTGTGTAAAAATAATTACAGAGTTTTCGTTTAAAGACCGTTCTGTTATTTATTATTTCATGTTGGTATTTATATTTTTAAAATTATTAAACCCTAATAAAAATATCACAAACATTAGTAACATTTTTGTACTTTTCAATGACAAAATAATTTTTGAAATTATCTCGAGAATTCTTGTTGAATTTCCCGGAAACCGAGAATGGAAATTTAGCAAAAATAACCGGGAAATTCCGAGAGAGATCCTATATTTAAAATAATATAATGTTTTGAGCCAACATGGGACCTATTGGTCGATTTCGGCTAAATTAAACTAAAACTGTTAATAAATACATTTAAAAAAATCTTAAAACCAGCCCTTATGATTCATATACTTATCAAGCTTTCTCCTAAACTCACTTAAATTTACTGCCTCCACAACATCCGAAGGCAAACCCATTTGCACAGACCAACCACCCTGTTAGAAAAATAAAACAGTCTTAGCTGTAGATAACACCTACCCTGCCAAAATTTATAGTGTCCCCTAGTCCTACTATTCTCACTGTTAAATATGAAAAAAGATGATGCATCAATACTATCAATTCGCTTTACTATCTTAAACTCCTCAATCAGATCCCCTCTAACTCTTCATTTTTTAAATAGAAAACAATTTGAGAGATTTCAACCTCTCCACCTATGACAATCCCTCCATCCCAGGCACCATTCTAGTAACCCTCATCTGAACTCTTTCCAACAATTCAATGTCCTTCCTAAGATAAGAAGCCCAAGACTGAACACAGTACTCCAAATGTAGCCTAACCAGTGAAAGTATAACCTATTTAGACTTGTATTCAATATTTCTGTAGATACAACCTAAAATCCTATTTGCCCTACCACTAGCAACAGCATACTGCTTGGATGGCTTAAGATATTGATTAACCATTACACCAAGATCCCTTTCTTTCATGACACTGTTAGGATTATCCCCATCCAAATTATACTTATATTTGAAATTATGATAACCCACATGCATTATCTTGCATTTATTATAATTAAAACCCATTTATTTGCCCATCTCACTAAATGATCCTTTTGTAAATCAGCAGCATCCTCTTCCAGCTAGCAACACCTAAATTAAAGTAATTTATTGACCATTTTTTATTTTCCACTAATAATTTCAATAAACATAAAATTAAATGTGTGGTTTTGTGTGTATTTAATGTGTAGAAATATAAGGTGGATTTAATGACATTTCAAATTTCACTGGTACTGCATTTAAGGAAAGAACAATTTTATAAAGATTTTAACAGCTGATATTGTATAATGAACAAGAACATCATCATCAGAATGATTAAGAGCCAACAACTGCAGGAAATGTGAGGAGTTTTAATTATAGTCCAAGGTTCCGACTTATTCGGTAAAGACACTCAACTTAAAGACAGGATTAAGTTTCCAGAAATTACTGGTAACTTATTTTCACAGCACATAAGTCTTATGTCACTAGACATGCTAGTTTAATGATAATATTGGGAAAAAATATGGAAAAAAATTAGCTCAATAAACATTTTCTGTAATAATGGTAGTTGGAATTCTTGCTGTTTTAATTTCAAGCTTCCCTTTCAAAATGTATTTTTCCTATTTTAAAGTAAACAGTTTGCTCTGTAATTATTTCTTGAACTGGTCATAATTAATGAGCATGAATCAATATTTAGTTTTGAAGGAAATCTTTACTTAATCACAAGTTTTAGATGTTAATATGATATGGTAGGAATTGTGGTCATACAAATACATCTGGTTACTGGTGATAGTAGCATTTAAACTGATCTAAAAACCATCTTATTAATTATTCAACTCTTTTACTATGAATTACCTAACTTTTTTTTGATATATATAAAAAGGATGTCTTGTAAGTTCAGATTATTCAGTTGCCATCACAACAATGCAACATGGTCTTTGATATTGCTGGTATCACATATATTATATACCGACCATTCAAATTTATACAGAGTCCTCCTTACTTCACTTGCCGACAACAAAAAATAATACTTCTTCCTTATATTTTATAAATGTGTGTTTGTTTTTTATTGTTGCTATAAGAACATGATGTGCAGCTAATGATAACAGGGATGATTTTATGAACATTCTAACTTACAGAAATAACAGCAGATATTGAAGAGAAATCTTAATTTCCCAATTTTTATTTTAGGGAAAGCGTAAATTGCTCATTATTTTTTCAGTAGTGTGTGTGTGTGTGTATATATATTGTTATGTCAGCGAGGTCACGTGACTAGTATCACGCCACTTCTTTCTCGAACCTTCGTGAATTGTCGGGAGATTACTAGATTGGGGGTAGTCTGGTATATATAAGATGGTCACAACGTGACGGGATAATGTGTAGGTAATGAGTAATTGAACTGCAGTCAGAGTGTGTGTAATTGAGTATTGTCGAGCACGTGAAACGTGAGTTATAGCTTTTGTTATAGAGTGACTGTTGAAATTAAGTGTATCGTAAAGTTGTATTCAGAAAGAATAAACCAGTTTTATTTAAGAAAGGACTTGTGTCGCTAAAGTTTCGTCGGAACGAAGATACGGAAAATTAACTAACGAACGGAGACGTAACAATATATATAACTAAAAAGTATATCTAATCACCAATACCCATTTCTGAGCAGATGAATACATCATTTACTGAAGTTACTGCAGAGTAGTGTGAAAAACACCGATGTTCGTTAATACAAAAAAATGTTAGAGATATTTATAGTGAAGGCTAAAAGACAACTTGTGAGTCTTCTGTTAGAGAAGTGAAAGTTTAAAAAGGCTAATTAACGAGGCATGATGTTAGGTAGAAGTCAAAAACTCTACATCCTACTGCATGTATAAAATAACTACCTACATTCAAATTTGTAACTACAGAAACGGTTTTTGACTAACCTAAATATATTTTTGACATGTTCTATTGCATAAGAATTTCTACCAGCCAAAATATTTTGTCCTGAGAGTGTCATAAAATTTGGGTAAATTAGAAAACCCACAAGTTTTACAGTACAATGAGTAACTGTGGACACTGTACATTGACAGGGAAATAAGAAACATTGGGTATATTTTCAACGGGGGGACAAAACACGTACTTAGGGGATCAGCTTTTAGAGTGTAAGTCAACAGACTAAAGGAATATGTTATGTGGGCTTAAACATAAACAAAAATTTAGTTTTAATAAACATTATTAAAAAATATTTATTTTAACTACAATGTTAAGTTTACATCATAATACATGCAATTTTTTGTGAAATGTATGGGAGGTAAATCCCCCTTCCTTCAGATGCCCATGAACATCAGGCTGGTTAATTAGTTTCTATATTTTGTTAATTACCTGTATTATACTTTTGTTTTGTATATGTATTTTTGAAACTAACCACTTTCCTACTAAACATAATGCCATCTGTTGTCCATATGAACCAGGTTTCATTTTAGGTTAAAAAGCAAAAATCAATATACTATTGAATTGTACATTCAGGTATGGGATAAAAAAAATATATATGTATATTTATATATATTCAAAATAAAAAAAACTTAAATATTAAGTTTATTGAATTTTCAGTATCCTGGAAAGCTTTATTGATGTTGAAATTGTTTTAGAATTTAATTAAGTTTCATCATAAAATTAAAAAAAAAAAAACTAAATTGTTAATCTGAAAAGTACAACCACAAAAAATTAAATTATGTTAAATTCGCATTTTGCTGCAAGCTAGTACGATTTCATTCTACACTGGTTTAATAGATATCTGAAAATCTCTCCAATTAGATAAAAATTACACGGACAAAAATTTTACATTCTTCACAGTCTGTTTGTCAGCCTGACTTAGTTTTGTTTTTACAGTGGGGGGCGGTAATTTGCATTATTGGTTTACTTTTCATAGTGAGACTTATAATTCATACCTTTTTTTCAAGTATAAAATATAAGTTATACCTGTTACTGTTCAAGTTGTTACCCCAGCTCATGTATAAAATTTTTCTTTTTGAAATTTTTATATTATCAACCTGTTAATTTTGAACTTGTGTCTTATATTTCAGTGAGACAACAATAAATTCTTAGACTTACCTGATGGAATAAGTAACCTTTGTGTTTTGCCAGTAGGCAGAATGTCAAAATTTTAGATAAGAACAAAAAAACGTGGCTCTCTGGTTTTAAAATTTCAAGAAATGTAATATTAGTATGCAACTAAAACAACAAACTTCAGTTATTGTTTGAATTGCAGAAATCACAGTATAGTTATGTTTATACTTAGAAAAGCAAAACAGGAATGATATATGTCCATTCTGAATCTTCCAATAAAAAAGTATTCAAATGTATTATAAAAATATAATTAATTCTATGGTGTATTTATCCACTGGTAAAACTATTCAACATATCAATCACTGAAAGGAAAACAACTATAAAGAACAAACCTGCATTGAGTCTTCCAGAGTACGTAACTTGAAACTTTAGACATTTCACTGAAGGCACTGTTTATTCTGTTAATAGAAAAAAAAAGACTTCTGCTGTACAATGAAACCTTTCTAAAACTATCTTAGATGACGTCTTAAATAAACTGATAATAATCTATGGTGTGTAGTTCTAAACGTTAACTTTCTGAACTTTACGTAGATTGTGTTGTCCATTTGTAGAAAATTCAGAAGTTGGAAGATGAGAACTTAACTCTCCAAGAAGAATTGCGTGCGTATAAAGAACAAGAACATACTGTACATGACCACGAGAAACATCTTCAAGAAGGTAATAAAACTTATCTTTAATTTAACATGTTCATTGTATTGGTGTAATAACATAAATTACACCATGTAACTGGAGCTACTGACTGTGATAAAGTTGGCCAAGTCATTGTGTTATCAAATAAAACATTACGAGAGCAGAATTTCTAAACACTATTTTCAAAGAAACTGTATTTCTTAATAAACCTTGCAAGAATGTTAAAATACTTGATTAATTAGCATTTGAACAGCAAACGATTTTACAAATTTAAAATTGAGATGATGTTTAGTTTTCCACTACTGATTGCTTTCTCAAGAAGTTCACACGTGATTTTCAAAATAATTATATTCACAAAGTTTTAATGACCACTAAAGAAAACATTAAATCAAGTTAAACACATAAATCATACAGTACTTGTGTTTTGGTATTTACAGATAATTGTACTTACCTGCTAAACAACTTTCACTAGAATTCATCATTGTGTTTCAACTTAATAATTTCCTTTGACAAATCATAGGTTATTCATCAGTGCCTCTCACAATATATTAAAGTTCAATAGCATTTGAGAAAAGAGTAAAAAAAAGATAAATTGTATGTTGGATACAAAGTGATAATAATTTCTTGATATTAAAGTAAATACAACAAGTGTAAACACATTGTTTTAAAGTGATCACATCAGCACAGTTTCAGAAGATTTGATATGCGTGGACTCAATCTCGAAAGTTTATTAAGAAATGTGGTTGCAAGGTAATTGCAGTTCCTGTAAGTGCACAGTGTTTTAATATTTTTCAGACTAATGAGCAGCATAGTTAGTGTTATAAAGATTCTTCTAAGTGTCTATAAAATTGTATACAATTAATTACTATAAATACATTTTTGTCGCAAGTCCCTACTGTTCAAAGTTAGTAAACTGTATTGGCTTATATATCGCATTTCATCAGATTACCAGTGAAAAACATCAAAAATATACTCAACGTTCAACAATTAAATGAAAACAGTGAGTAAAAAAGTCTACCAAACATCGAACCATAACAAAAGATGAGCATAAGAATCATTTCTGTACATTCTATTTGTTGAGTCACTAATAACAGAATTTAAATTAATGTTTCCAGTGAAATAACACTCTAACGATCTCCATCTTCACTGGATGATAAAATTAGTGAAGAAATGAAAAGAAGTAACTACAGTAAAGTAAATTGTTCGTCATTAGAAACAAAATCACAGATCTAAAACCAGTCATCATGGTTAGACAATAGCAAACAACAAAGAATATGAGCAAGTGAGGTAAAAACAAAGCAACCGTAATTACTAAGCCTGATGCCTCTTCAGTTTGGTTAACTTACAGGTGCCACACTTATAAAAAATAAATCATGTACGAAACTTGTATCCTTACATTAGAGATCTTTTAAACATGACAAGACCGTAACAAAAAAAAACAGGTTAATGGAAACTTTGTGAAAGGTTTAAAGTTACAGAAATCCTAGATGTTAACTCCCTTCTTTCTAAACTAAACACGGTTGTAAAGTTGTTTCTGTTTTCTCCAATTTTCCAGAAATTTCTTCTTTGAAGAATGTGGTGTTAAATCTACAAGACACTATCACAAAACTGGGGTTACTAAAAGGTAAGATGGCAGTTTGTCATTTTTTAAATTTAGAAATTATATAAAATTGCTCTCCATGTTTAGAGACGGTAATTACATTAGTTAAATGATTAAGAAAGCTTATATTTTAAGATTTCTTTCTTCTTGTTGTTTTTCAGGAGAAAACCGGGCTTTGAAGAATGATCTCCAAAAACTGAGTGTGGAAAAAGATAAAGAAATTTTGGTAGTCTTCAGGATATAGTGAAACATAACTGACACTTCTTTTTGTATAATAGCAATTTAAATTTGTTTAAAACCCGAGCAAAACGTATCATACACTTAACTTGTTAAATACAACTGTTTAATAGAGATGAATTGAAATTCATGCTAAATAAAACTAAAACGAACAAATGAAAATCAGATGGTTTTAATTTTTTATGATTTTTGTGTGAAAGATTTTCTGTGAATTCTAAACTTTGTACTGATATTGTGAAAAAATATTTTTAGTGAAAGAAAAAATAAACTTATTCTGAACAACTTTGTATATATAAAACTTTGAAAAAGGTTCTTGTAAGTTTCCAAATTACTAAAAAATGTATTTGATTTATACTTTTATGTACTCAGTTGATTAGTGTATGTGTGTGTTTCAGTTATTTAAAAAAACGTTTTGAAAGTATTACATTTATACAGTTTTTGTGATATTCTTGAAAAACAACATCCAACAGTGAATTATATCATCCAACAAAATTATTGTTACATTGTTTCGTACGGATTTTTGGGGTCCTAATTTAGAATTATATCTTATTAATTAATCACAGTGACTTTCGTGTTTTTAAAATCATCAACAATTCACAATTCTTTCAAACACTGATTTGTTGAAGTCTCCTGATTTTGTTATTGATACTTATTTTATGAGTTTTTCAGTAATTCATTTTCTGTAGCATCATGAAAAACAGCTGAAAATGTTGTATGAAAAACAAAATCAACTAGAAACAGAGAAAGACCAAGAAATCAAAGAAATACACAGAACAGCAGAAGAAAAAGGTAATTTATATTTACGTAATTTGTATGGTTTATTGAACTTCATACAAAGCTATTTGAGAGCTATACGTCTCAGCTGTCCCTAATTTTGAAGTGGTAGAAGAAAAACAACTAGTCAACACCACCCACACCAACCTGTGGGCTACTCTAATCAAATGGTGGGATTTCACTGTCACTCTTATAATGCACCTGCAGCATCAAAATGTAAGGCAGACTTTTCTTTCCAGCACTAACGGGACATGAACCTCATATACACAGTGCAAAACATAAACCACTGGGCCACAAATCCCCCCTGAAATGTATGGAATCAAGATGAACAAAATTCTATTTAAAGTACGTAAAACATTAACTATAGCTTTCTTATCTATCTTTTTTATGTAGCTAAATTCATTATCAAGTATCATTTTTATTTTCTAAATTCAATTCCTGATAAATATGAACAAAAAATATTTATTCCATTAAACCTAGCTCCTTCACCACTTGAGAGGGCCAATAACAGTTGTGTATGCATTTATAAGAATAGTTGCAATAATAATAATACAGTAAACATAAGTGTAGTCTTTTCGAATTTGTCAGTCAGCTAATTGTTGTTCACAGTTTAGGGCCTGAAATTAACACTAGCAGATTATTGGTTAGTGTTGCAATTTTGCTAGTAAAACATAGAAGGCACTAGAAAAAATTGCAAGTACACTTTTCAGAAAGAATATTCACAGATACTTACCGTCAAGTATTAATACAGCTGTGATACACACATTTCAGTCATATATATATATATATTGCAAGATTCCGAGTACAGAAGGTTACTGTGATTAACAAGATTGTTTCATTTGCTGGTGCCATGTTCGTCTTGTGATCCTCATGCTAAGTATCAGGAAATAGGGATAGCGAGATGGTAGCGTCAACTCATTTGATTGGTTGCCAAGGCAATTTTTTTTGGCCAGCCTAGACTCACACCATTGATCCTTTGCAGTGAAGGTTTCTCAACAGAATGGTTAGAAACACTGTGCCCAAGTGGTTGTTCACTGAAGATAATAATAAACAGAAGTCAGGTACACTGCAGATGTTTTATTTTTTACAGACTTCTTAATTTTTCCATAATTGACACAGATGTTAGGCCTACTGACTTCTTCACCAGCTTTTGACATTTAATCAGTAATGTTTAATAATAAAATACTATTTTTAGTATAGGGTAGCCATCAGATGTGGAGTATTGTAATTCAACTTTAATCAGCATTTCTAAAATAACAACTAGTTACTCTCCATGCAGTTAGAGTCGAAAAAAACTTGCACACAAAGGAACTTGAAACAAAGCAGATGGAAGTAACGAATTTGAACAAAGAAATCGAAGACGTTAAAAAAAGGATGAAAAGTGAAATTACAAAGCTTCAAGTAGAGGTAACTGGTGTGTTTCTATAAATATGTTGTTCTAAGCTGTTTAGTCATACGTGCCACATTAAACACAATGATGATGTGGGTTGGTCCATTCATTACGAGCTTTTCATTGAATAAGATTTCCCGATATAATTTTTTTTCAAAAATCATAAAGTTATCTTAGAAATTATGTTACGTACTTTATAACAAGCTCTCTTTGTTAAATGATAGGCGTATTTTTAAAATCCCCCTTTTCCAGTAGTCTGCAAGTTTGTCTTAAAGAATTGATTCTATATTCTCTGTGAATAATATTTTTATTTGATGGTAGTATGAAGGTAAAGTGAATCACCTCCAAGACCAGATTGTAAAGACAGCAAACCAGTCCAACTCCAATCAACTCGGAAATGGAAGCGAAATATTCAGAAAAGTGAGTCCTTTCAACACGTTACTCTAACCCATGGTGCGCTTTATCTGCACATACTTTGGAACGCTTACATTTGTATATAAAAAATGGCTTGGTATTGAAATATTTTTGCTGTAATTATTTAAACAGACTAGAATTCTTCCACTGTTATCTTTCTGAATTTGTTGTCAAGGAAGGATCGATTGAAAGACTTATCTTTTATTTACCACTTTTGGAGAATAATATTTTTCAGAGTAGTGTCACTTGAGATTAAAAACTACACTGGTAAATGTTAGCAGTAAATTATAAATCACATTATAGTAACACCCTATTTAGCACTCCTGAGCGCAAAGCTCTAAACAGGGTCATTTTAACATTACATATATGGAGATACGTAACTGAAGGTATTGTTTCTTACCTGTGAATGATGTATAAGTGTTTTATTTAGGTTCTGGTAAATTACTCACTATAATGTCGTCATCGCTGGAAAAATATGTTAATTTTTATTAGACTTCAATCTTGTTTGGTTACAGAGCTATCATACAGAAAATCAGACCCCTCTTGTCACATCCTCTCTTTCAGGATTTGTCAATACATGTAGTTCTCTCTTACGTTTATGACCATATTAGTTATAACCACGAGCCAGGCAAGGTTTTCGTCTATCAAATAACGTATTATATTACATTGTTTTTCTGTACAGAGATTTGTGGATCGTTTCCTAAGAAAATGTTTTTTTTTCACACGTGAACAATATTGCGTACATGGATGATGTTTTAACGGTTTATATTGCATCGCTAGAAATGCCAGAAAAATTGTGATAGTTATGGAATATTGTCTGCTTTTTTTTGCATGTTATTCTTCTATGTTCTTTGTTGTATTATTAAATAAAAATTATTTAGTGCATTACTATCATTAGTATAAAAAAAGTATTGTTCAGAAAGTAATGGATTTTCATGATCTTTTTCTCTCTTGTGAAAAAAAAAAAATCTCTCAAGGAGACAAGAGCTGTACAATGAATCAGCTTAAAGCGGGGTCTTACTGTATTTTATTAATCCTAGATAAAACTTTGTTAATTCTATACTAATATAAAAAAGTTTGCTTGTTGTTAAGCACAAAGTTAAACAATGGACTATCTGTGCTGTGCCCACTATGGCTATCAAAACCTGGTTTTTAATGTTATAAGTCTTCAGACTTACTGCTGAGCCACCGAGGAGCATTTAAGAAGACAAAACGGTATATTGTGATGTACTTAACATGCATAAACCATATAATGTAATACATGAACTTCAAATGTAGTTGGCAAGTGTTTATATCATTCAATGTGTGTGTGTGTGCAATAGAGTACTTCTGATAAACCTATATGCCAAAATGTAAGACTTAAAATAATATTAATACAGTTTCCTATTTTTACAGATTATTTGGTCACAATCATTGTGACTATCAAACAAATATTAAGTAAGGTTGTAAGCCTAACGTAAGTGCAAATAATGCTGTATTATCAACAGATGATGGTGAAATGTTTCCTGATTTGTTTATTTATATTCTGAAACAATGTGTAGTGTGTATACACCACATTAAAAAAACAACAAAAAATAACTCCATAACACATTTTTCTTGAGGAATATTTTTTTCGCATCTACATAATCAAAATAATTAGACTATAATGAAAAAAAACTAAACCTCAAAATATAGCTGTGCCAAAAATGTAATTTGTGCTCTTGTACAAATTAAAATCTAGAATATAAGACACCCATACTTATCCTAGTAACTCCCAAACAAAGGTCTCATTAGTTACTGTACTTCATTCTCATCAGACAGTAGTGAAACCTTAACTCCCAAACAAAGGTCTCGTAGTTACTGTACTTCATTCTCATCAGACAGTAGTGAAACCTTAACTCCCAAACAAAGGTCTCGTAGTTACTGTACTTCATTCTCATCAGACAGTAGTGAAACCTTAACTCCCAAACAAAGGTCTTGTAGTTACTATACTTCATTCTCATTAGACAGTAGTGAAACCCTAACTCCCAAACAAAGGTCTTGTAGTTACTATACTTCATTCTCATTAGACAGTAGTGAAACCCTAACTCCCAAACAAAGGTCTCGTAGTTACTGTACTTCATTCTCATCAGACAGTAGTGAAACCTTAAAATGGCCTCTACATTTTCTCCCTTTCTCATTGCTAAGTGTTTTTTATTGCCCTATTAATGTGTTCTCATTACTTCTTCCACATGTTGCAGTAAATTAATGTCATTTTTTTATTGCCCTATTAATGTGTTCTCATTACTTCTTCCACATGTTGTAGTAAATTAATGTCATTTTTTTATTGCTCTGTTAATGTGTTCTCATTACTTCTTCCCTATGTTGTTGTAATAAATTAATTTAATTTGTCCTTCACTTTTATTTGTATAACCATGTGTTGTTGTTGTTGTCTTAATGCAATGCTACACAATAGGCTATCTGCACTCTGACCACTGGATCTTAGCACTAGGGGGAACCACATTACATGTAGTGCACATTGTAGCTCAGTAAGAGTAAACTCACTTCTCATAATTTGTTTTAATAATCACTATTTATTGGCTATACATGGTCCAAAAACATATATACATCCAAGTGTTCCTTTAATATGCATGAACTAAATATAAAAAAAATGTTTACCCCTGTTAGTTCAGACCATGCACGTGTGAAATGATTTTTTTTATAAATTTTATTTCTTGAGTCAGTGGATCTACATTTATTGTTACACTTACTTTATTGAATTAATCCAATCAACTACTTGTAAAATAAGTTACCATTTTTTTTCCACGACCGTGCATATAATCTATCTTTTTTTTGTAAGGTAAGTATATTCACCAAGTATTTACAAATGGACAGAAGTTATGCCAAGTTTTCAACATATAATTTGTAAGGTAAGTATATTCACCAAGTATTTACAAATGGACAGAAGTTATGCCAAGTTTTCAACATATAATTTGTAAGGTAAGTATATTCACCAAGTATTTACAAATGGACAGAAGTTATGCCAAGTTTTCAACATATAATTTCATAATGTTACTCTGCCAACATTCCTCCTAAACATATACATAAGCACTTCTTAATTCTTGCAACAAATTGATGTTTATGTGTCTGTGTCGATCTTTAGAACTTGCATTGTAACTTACAGAATAATTATTGATTGTTACAGGTAAATAGCTCTTCTAGTTCTATTTGTTTCAGAAACTTCAGTTCTTGAAAATGCAGCATGAAAAAGAGGTGAGAAGGATGAAACAACAGATTCAAGAGCTCCAAAACAAACTCCAGAAAGCAGAAGATAAAACGTTTGATACTGTGAGGGATTACCAACCACAAAATTCTAATAGTACAATACGAAAAAAAGTTAGCGAAGAAACCAGGAACTCAAAAATGACCAGGGAAACAGCTAACACTAATGCTACTGAACCATCAAAACAGACAAGTTTACTTAACAGAAACCCTGTCGTTATTACTCCAGAAAAATCCATCACAATAAACACACGTTCAGGAAAAAATTCTGAACTTACCAATTCAAATTCTTCTGATAAGTTACAGGTGAGAAAAAGAAAACTTTTTCATAATGACCGTGTGTTCTTGGATCCAAGCGATTAGTGTAACAATGTTTATATTACGTTTTAGAGTTTATTTTTCACTGTGCTGCCCGTTTAAGTTGTGTGCACATTTGTTTTGTTATATTTCATCTTACATCACTGATAATTGAAAAAAACGTGCGGGTTAATTTCTAATTTTGAAAATACCACTTTTAATAAACAGTTGTGTTTTAATTTAACTGTCTTCTAGTCATTTAGTGAGAAAATATTCAAATTAAAAGTAAAGAAAAAGAAAAGAATACATTTATAAGAATGTGCTACTTTTAGTTTATTAATAAAATTTATAGTACACCACACAATTTGAAGCAAGAATCTGTTTTGTTGTTTATTGCAAAGCTACAAAATGGGCTATCTGTTCTCTGCCCACTGCTGTATTGTAGCCACCATTTAGAATATCTCACATTTCATAAACAGGATGCATAGACTATATCTCATTAAGTAAATAAACATAAACATTTCCATAACTCTTACACACACCCCCCCATCGTATATGGAAAATTTATTATAAAACACATATATGCCATTTTTTCCAGTGCTTATGAAATTATTTATTAAAAACCATAATAATACCACTACTTAAAGTACTTAACGACAACAAAAAATTACATATGTTTAGAGTAAAAATAAATATAGCTGTTTCAATGTAAACAAATTTGATTTTGGGAGTGAAGCTAGGCCTACTTTCGGGTTTAGTTAAAATCAGAAGTATGTTTCAATTATAAACTGTGGTACATGAGAATTTATTATCATTAATATTAAAAACCATAATAATACCACTACTTAAAGTACTTAACGACAACAAAAAATTACATATGTTTATAGTAAAAATAAATATAGCTGTTTCAATGTAAACAAATTTGATTTTGGGAGTGAAGCTAGGCCTACTTTTGGGTTTAGTTAAAATCAGAAGTATGTTTCAATTATAAACATGAGAATTTATTATCGTTAATATTAAAAATTAGATTGTTTTTTTCTTTTCTAAAGCTCAGTAGAAATAATTTAATTTCTCCTCTTACAGTATCACCTTTGAAAAAACATATAAGTATATTTATGAAAGAGGTAGAGCTAATCGGATTTAAAAAAGCAAGACTATAAAAATAATAGTGGAATGTGTTAGTCATGCAAATTGCTCCGACACTGGATTTTCTTTACAGTAACTATTGAATCTGAGAGCCTCTTGTCTGTATATATATCCAATACAAATTTACTGTCTAATTATAAAAAATATTTTCATGGCCAAACTAAAGATATTAAAGCCAAATCAAATACAGATTTTAAACTGTAGAACAATGAAATCTGACATACTGTAAACATTACATTATGTTTCATAGAAAATATTCTTGGGGCTCCCAATGATTTAGCATGACTATCATTTTGGTATATTAGCAAATAATGGGTCAGCATATTATTATTGTAGGCTATCATCAGAAACTTTTTTTTTATCTAACATTTTCAAATTAGATAACATACTTAATTTAAACTTAACTTTCAAACTGTATAAGCATTTTCTTCTTCCTAGACATGACGTGCCATTCAAGTGTTCTTGCTTATTGTCTGCCAATATTGCTTAAACATTTGGACGAAATATTACACTTTCGTCAGTTTGCAGATAATCACTGAAAATTTCAAAGGGAGCTGAGCTTTAGTTAACCATATTTTGTTTTGTCTGTGTATTGTAGCCTCACACACAAACACAAATTTATAATGCTGAATAATAAAGTTAAGTGTTTGTCAATCACTTATTTCATCCTCCCAACGAGTGGCCAGAAATCGACGGTATATGATGGTGATGTACACAGAGAGCAGGAATACTATAAACAGGTCATCTATCAGCCCGAATATTCCGAATAAAGCCTCGGGAATCATATCTAAAGGTGAAACAAGATACATGATGGCAGCCATAAAGCAAAGGACAACCCGTAGACGAAACATGTACATGAAACTTCCAACAGAAAAGAATTCCGACAGCATGTGACGTAGAAGTACTGGCAAGTCCGAAACGTATTCTGACCACTAAGAAAGAGGATTAATAACATAATTAGTTCTTAAAGTACAAGATCTGTACATTGATCTAATAGCTAAAGTAATTTATTTTTACATTTTTAGGATTAAAATGAATTACAAACATGTACTTATTTCTGAAAGCCTTTCTCTGTTGAGTTTCTCTCGTGTTGTTAACAAACATGTGACTTCAAGTTCTAAATGCCCTGCTTGTATCAACTTACTCAGAATTCTCTACTCTCACAACTTACTGACCATACATCAATAGAATTGACAATAGGTCTATTTTCCCATTATATTTCACATTTCAATTAGAGTGATGATGGAAAACCATGATTCACCCAATTAAGGGGAGGTGGGTGGTTATTTCAGAAATAAGTACTTATTTGAAATTCATTTCGAGCATAAAAATATAAAATTCATGACAGGTAGACTTACTGACAGTCAGAGTACTCGCATTGAAAAGGAGGCGGGAACTGGGGAGAATTGAGATCATAGAGAACAAAAAAAAAGTTTCAAGACAGAAAGGTAAAATCCTAGACCACCATTAAGACTTGGAAAAGCGGAGAAAGTTTACAATCCAGAACCAGAAATACTCAAAGAACTGGATTCAAGGGAGAATAAGTGGAATAGGTCAGCCTTAAATGATGACTGGACCTAAGGACACTAATGAAGAAGACCTTCTTTTCAGCTGGGTACCTCTTAACTTTAGATGCTTTTTGGTTCATACAGAAAGGTGTGTGTGTGTGTAGGTTTAACCGTGGAGCAAATAATGGAAGATCAAGTAGTGCTATAAAAAGATAGGAGGAATACCATGTCTTGTACCTGTAGGCTATAAACATCATCATAGGTGTGGGTCCAATTAGTAAACATGCAGGTAATAGAGAACAAATCACCTGCTAAGGATTTCATCTAGCTTGGAGAATAGCCACAGGTGGCAAAGAAACCCAAAAATGAAGCTACAGCAATATGTCAGCTTTTAAGATTCCCTCTAATTGTTACTAAGACTGGGAAGTTAAAGACATTGCAAGATAACAAACTTGATGAGAAGTAACCTGAAATTGACTTCAAAATTATGCAGGTACATCATGAATGACAAGTGAGATCAGAGGCATAACCCAATTCTTTAGCGTAGATGGAGGCATAACCCAATTCGTTAGCGTAGATGGAGTGGAGTAAGATCTGTAGAGCAAGATTTGTCCTAAGGTATAAATAACAAATGGACTTGATAGTTTGTTCATTTTTGTTGTTGAATTTTTGCTATCTTTACTATCCATCCCTAATTTTAAAGTGTTAAACAAGATGGAAGGTAGCCAGTCAACACCACTCTTTTCCAATAAATAGTGCGATTGACAGTCACATTAAAACTATAGAGTAGGACTAAAAATGCAGTTAATTAAATATAATGTTCAAACTATATTACTTATACTGATTAAAATGCATTGTTTTATCAGTTAGGTCCCTTTGCTGTTATAAATATTTACAATATTTTTGACCATATAATCCAATAACGTCTCAGGAAGCTTAGGTTAGTCCTAATTCCACACACTAAGCTAACAACACACCGTTCTCCAGATAAGCTTTTGACATACTGAGTATTTTAGAGTTTTAATGACATTTTAATTTTTAGTGCTGTTTTCCAGCCAGTTGCTTTCATATTTTGGTATTTTTATCCTATAAAGGAGCACCCGAGACAATTACAACATAGATTCAATACACTTACTTGACATTGATTGATAAAATTACATTGGTATAATTTTTAGTTCAACAGGAATCCCAATAACTCGTTAGTAAATGTTTCTTTTCTCACTAAAACTTGTAATTACAGTAAAGAAACAAAAAAAGGAATCCATGAATGACGTAAGAGACCATAGTTTTGCCGAATCACGTATCTTTAGTACTGCTTGGGAGGACACACTAAACAGATACAGTAGGTCTCCACATGGGAATGCGAAGAACCTATAGGATTTGACGTAATTTCACAGCATAAGGAATCAATCAGTTTATTGTGAGAGTTATCTCCAAGTTTTGCATTTGTTTAATTACCAATACAGATTTTGTTTCTCCTGCACTAATTGATAGACGTACTGTCGAAGGGTATACATATTTGGTAAGCATAATGTTTGTTTCTAATGCATGTTAAAAACATGAATATTTATACAGATACTCAATCTGCAAGGGATGGTGAAGTCAATCTTACATATCTTACAACCTTTCCACAGACCCTCCTCTGTACATGGATACTGTCTTCCAAGATCATTTTTAACCAGACCAAAAGCATAAACATTCATTGTATCCGTATCAGAAGGCACGGCCGGAAAAGTTTTTTCTAGACTTTTTGAGTTTGAGGGATCTATTTGTAACCACAGCTTTTACTTTACAGATGAGTGGTTGTTCTAGACTGGCACAGGATATAGTTTCAGTCCATTGTTGCCCCAGATACACTGACGTGCAAGTTTCCTACTTCAAAGCAGGACACCAAAGGATCCCTTTTCTCAAAATATTGTGCAAAATGTTTAAGTGATGTTGGTTCTACATTGCTTAACAATCTCGCTATACAAATATTGGTCCTTAGAAATTGTTGAGACCTCTACCTCTCCACCCATACATATAACAATGGTAGCATTGCACTGTTGAATATTCAGCGGTTTATCCTAAACCTTAGGTCGTAAAGATGTCAGCCATGATGTCACAGTTCACATCTGATGCAACATACCACATATTCAATTCATCTTACTATAATGGACGTAGCATGTATATATGTATGTAGCCAATAGAAATACCAAATAAAATGTGGCGCCATCTATTGAATGGCATCACAAACAAAAATCCATAAAAAGTTTCACACTTTGGGTATTTAAGATTCAGAAAATTCAAAAAATAACTACTGTGTAACAACCATTTCTTTATCACAGAATACAATTTTATATAAAAGTATTCTCCTAACAACAAGAACATGACTTTCACTAGGACTGTACGTGAGGGTTTGATTATATCTTTATTGATGTAATTTGTGAATATAAAACTAAAAAAATGAACGTTCTTAAAAAAACTTTTTTTTTCAATAAAAGGTACCACTTTTAACATATAAAAATATTACAGTTTATATCAGCACAATCCAAACACTTTTCCCATGTATTACTTCTCAGAAAAATCCTTTTTCTGAAAATGTTCACTTTTTCTCAATGAGGTATGAATACTACGTTTACTTTTCTGCTAGTTCTTATAAAGTATATTTAACCCTCTATTTTCCTTATCCAAGAAATTGGTGCACGTTTTTAAATTTTAAATTAACATTGTACAGTAATTTTAATAATTAATCTAAACTTTTTCTAACAGAAAAAAAAAAAAATTAAACAAATCCTTTTCTTTTCATGATACTTTCTTACAATGCAATGTTTTAAACGTTACATCTTCCCCCAGTGGAGGTTATTCATAGGTAATGACTTTATCTAAATCTGTAGTCCTCGTTTAAGACATGCAAATCCGTAAAACACTTGAGAATTACAATAAAAAGAACACGCAAATGGGATTTTTTTCCGTACTAAAAACCTTTCTCCTTGTTTGTATATCTTTACGCATGTGGAGAGTGTAAGGCCTCCTATACCGGCAAAATCAAATACTATCTAACAGTTAGAGGCAAGGAACACATGGGAATTTTCATGAAAACACAAAATAGTTGAGTAACCCCTGGTTTTCCTCTATACGCCAACATAGTAAGGAAACAGAACACAAACTTATCAAATTTCAATACCCTTTGTAAGGCCAACGCTGATCTGGAATTACTTATTAAAGAAACTCTCCACATCAAACAACTTTCACCAACACTGAATACTATGCAGTCTTTTAAATTTCACATTTTAAAAGTTATATAGTATTTTTGTTTGTTACTCCTGTACTTTCTATGTTTTAGTTCTGATTAAATTATCATTATTGCAGCAATGTATTTTAGTTATTTACTTAGGGATCATGTAATTATTTTACTTTAGATACTGAAGGTGAAATCTGTAGTATACCAAAACGTCTTTCTGTTATAAATAAACAATGTTGTTGACCTTAAGTATCGTCATCTTTTTTTACTGTGAAACTTCATTTTCCTCCAAACCTCTCGATTGCTAACGACTTGAGAATTATTTCAATAACGATTCAGGATTGAAACAAAATCCTAAGTGCTCTGTTTAACCAAAAAACAGTTTTGATGACTTGGGAGACATAAAAGAATGAGTTAAGATAATGATTACAAAGTTACGTGTTATGATTGGTCATGGTATTGTATGAAATAATTGTTGACTATATTAATTGATTCAGTAACTAAACAGACACCACATCAAACTATAACCCTGCCAGGATGTTGATAACTAGTTTAACGCACTTTTTATCCAATGTCGTAAGGAAATGAACCAGGATCACTTACTAGAATAGAGGCCCGTAGCCCAGCGGCTATCTCTGGTCAAACTACTCCATAATTTCTAATTATATTTTTTGAACTCTCATTATTTTCTTTACTAAAGCCGGTACATGCTTGCTGGGATGATATAACTATGGATTAGATGATCAGAAGGGGAGAAAGATGAAAACAGTATCGCAAATTTCTGACAATCTTTTATGGAATGGGTGAGGGGATTATATATATATACATAAAGATTAGACTTGTTGGTGATACAAATGACCAGCGACACATTTCCAATAAATAAATGTCAAACCAAAAAGGACACAATCAATCCCAAGACCATACGCATGTGAAGAACTTTTTTTTATAGCAAATTTTAGTGTCAAATTATGAGTTGTAATTGGTCAATAGTAAACTATCGCAGTCAGTATTTATTCTAATAAAGCTAAATAAAACATCAACTGTTTATAGAAAAGGAAAGAACTATTTTTCATCACTACCAATTTTACAGTATTATCTGATCTCTCACGGTTGATACAAGCTATTAAGTCATCTATATAATGAATAATGACATTCAAGTTCATCCAGCTCACAAAACAAGAACATTTTGAGATCTCTTTTGGAGCCATGGCGATCCCCTGTTACTCTGAGAAAATAGTTTCCATCCTTTTTAGCAAGTTTACTGATAACATTAATCTTTTTTTAAGATTATCATCACAATCATGTTTGTAATATTTTGGCTTGAAATTAAAAGACTTCAGTAAAACTGGTTTTTAAAGTTAATGTAAACAAAAAATTAAAGGTACATTTTAATCTTACACATGCATGCCTACTAAAGTGACCGAGTAGTAAGCCCCCCCCCCCTTCTCCAGCATTAAATGCTTACCTAAGTAACTGTAATTGGCCATAGAATGGTAAATAAAACAGCAACAGAACACTTCAAGACATTTCACAAAATACCAAAAAATTTACAATATTTTTCTCGGTCTTAAAACTAATCACTTACATATAATGGTGAAATAGGTTATTATCTTGTTGCTTTAATTAATGTTGAGAGCAATGGTTTGGGTTATTACACATTTAGATAATTGTTAAATAAGTGACAGAATTTTTATACACAGAGATAAAATGATAAAAAACCCTTTAACCCGAGCACTACCCAGAGGTAAACTGGGAACGGTGGTGTAACTGAGCTTTCAGGAAGTGTTTTTGTATATTTTTCAATGTACTGTTGTAGGTGTGTCTCATTTTCAGTGCAACATGGCCAGAAACGAGATCTTTATGTAAAAAAAAGGGTTAGAGATGTTTTACTTTACAAATGGTCAAGAAAAACTATACTTAAGTGTTGTTACAGTAAAATAAAGGTGACACACGGAGATTGACTGAAAAAGATATGTTAAGCAGATGAATTTATAAAGACAGTCACGGAAAATTATCGTAAATAAATAGTAAGTATTAGAAAGATTAGGGGTAAACATGAGCACTTAACTTTTCTTGATGGAACATGAACACTTAAACACAGAGAAATGTAAAACAAAATATTTCTTCAAGGTCTAATATTAGCTGTTAAACACAACCTAAAACTTTGTCCATACATATAAAACTAACATTTATCTCAATAAAATGATTCATGTTAAATGTTTGAAAATATTGCAATACAGGGAACAATTTAGTTTTACATCCTGGTAATATTTGTTTAAACAGTAAAAAAAAAACTTACTGGTCTAGGAGCTCCAGAAAATCTTCTATTGTAGTTATTAATCTCAGTAAGAATTTGTTTTATCTCTTCTTTGGATTCATTTCTTTTGTGTTGATCAGGAAAACAGCAAAGTAGTACTGACACCTTTCAGAAAATATAGATGATCAACATAAATAGAAAACAGCAAAGTAGTGCCGACACCTTTCAGAAGAATATAGATGATCAATAGAAAACAGCAAAGTAGTGCCGACACCTTTCAGAAGAATATAGATGATCAACACAAATAGAAAACAGCAAAGTAGTACCGACACCTTTCAGAAGAATATAGATGATCAACATAAATAGAAAACAGCAAAGTAGTGCCGACACCTTTCAGAAGAATATAGATGATCAATAGAAAACAGCAAAGTAGTGCCGACACCTTTCAGAAGAATATAGATGATCAATAGAAAACAGCAAAGTAGTGCCGACACCTTTCAGAAGAATATAGATGATCAACATAAATAGAAAACAGCAAAGTAGTGCCGACACCTTTCAGAAAATATAGATGATCAACATAAATACAAAACAGCAAAGTAGTGCCGACACCTTTCAGAAGAATATAGATGATCAATAGAAAACAGCAAAGTAGTGCCGACACCTTTCAGAAGAATATAGATGATCAACACAAATAGAAAACAGCAAAGTAGTACCGACACCTTTCAGAAAATATAGATGATCAACATAAATAGAAAACAGCAAAGTAATACCGACAATACTTCCCACGCGATTTTGTTGGCTCTGATTATGAAGAACAGTTGAATTCTCAAAAAAGCAAATGGATTCAATAATTGATGCAATTATAAGCATTTTCAGTTTATCACTGTAACTTTATTACTGTGTTTTTTATAAACCCAGTGGGTGTATATCTTTTAAATGATGAAGATTTGGAATGACTTCCCACTGTAAGAATAGTAAAAGTACTGCTTCAATTGTATTCCAGCTAAAATCATTGCTTTATTCATATACTATCAATTAATGTTCATAAACTTTATTAACGACGGCCATCCTTCCAAAAGGGTGAGCTTAATGCCTCATTTGTTATAGCAAGTTTTTGATTTTGTTTTGTACAATTTATAACACTGTTATACTTATCTCTTTGTTTACTGGTTCGACGTGTTTTGCTGCCATGTGCAAATGCTGACTGTGCCACCTACAGTCGCTTTTCTGCTATTATAATAATGCTACACAATTAAGCCCCTAAGAACCTGCTACCTAGTAAAATGCACGTGCTGCATCCCCGGTCATGGGTTGGTAAAACAGAATTAACGCAAGAGCTACACCAGATAGACCCGCTTAATCTTTCCTGATTGAATCAATGTTAAATGCAATAAATAAACTGGGTAGAAAGTTAAACACAAAACAAACAATCTTTATTACAGAATGAAACACATACACTGTGTCTGTGTATAACTGCTTTGATGCTTAAACCCACTGAACCACTGTTCTTCTTGGATACTTTTTGTAGGTCTTGTCACCAGATCTCGTTTGGCAGAATACTCTCCCTATAAGGTATTACAGTTGAACTGACTAAATACCACATTTCTTAGCAAGCAAGAAACCTCACACTAAACCAGGGAAACATTCGCTACCCACTTGACTGGTCATTCTCATTATAATATAGCTAGGGCTGTTACTTCTAGACATCACCTGAACAACCACTGGAGGACACTGCTATTCATATCTTTACAGAATTTGTAATATTAAGCAATGTTATCCCTGGGCATTAACGGGTATATCTACTTTTAAAAGGAATAAAGGTAACTTAAAACAAGATCAACCTAACAGTTTTCTGGACTGTGTGCTACGTGAAACTTCCATATATATTCAGAACAAAGAATGAATTGAGAATTAACATTGTAATACTACAAGAAGATAGAAATCCGTGATACATTCAGATACCATAAATACATTCTAAAATATCTGATGCCTCTTTCAGAACAGATGTTTCACTAATAAAATTTAGCCATTAAAATAATGAAAAAAAAAACCAAACAAAAACTGATAGCTCATTTTGAAAGAAAGCAAAAAAGTTTCTGCATTGGTTTAAAATGAGGCTTTTAGTCCTAACAAAGGCTTAACTGCACATTTTTATTACATTCTTCTTAAAAAAATAATTATGGGTTTCAAATGTGGCACCTAACAAAAATTACTTCATCTACATCTTGTCTGAAATAAGTCCCGAATCTCTAATTCAAAGCCTTTAACGAACTATCTAGTTAACAGAATGCGAGAAAAACAAACATATTTTCAGTCCCCTATATAAAATGTTTAAGTTTCTTACAAATTTAAATCAACTAATCATTGTAATTAAATAATAAAAGGTTACTCCACCCACAACTAGTTGCTATATCACAAAATAGGAAACTCTAAATTTTTTAAGAATACTTGGTACACAAAGCAAGGCAATATTGTTCATTTTGCCATCTCTTACTACATACATATTTAAACAATCTGTTAGTATCACACTTTGGGCCTTTTTTTTTAAGATTAACCTTTTAACTATTACAGTTTGTTTTATATAATTTAGTCCCAGTTAAAGAAGAAGCATTTTTATGTTAACTGAAGAATATTTTATTTAAGAAACATAACGATTGAAGGCATAACTTATCGACTTATGATAAAAAAATACATCAACTGGTGGTTCAGCCTATTATTAAAATGGTTTTTCAAATTAGTACATAATAAATATTGTGAGTACACTGTTGAAGAATGAATAAATAAACAAACCAGCTTGTAATCAACTAAAGTTAGTTTGGGTTTACATTTCAATGGATATTTTGACAGTAAGATGTGGAGGAAAAAACTGGAGTTTTTTATGTAATAGTTGTGGTCTTTTTTTAAATTTCTTACATTTAATTTTTTTGTATAATAATTATGTTTTTATGCATTTCAGTATGTTTTTTTTAATCAATATTCCTTTAGAGTCTCACCTGTTGTCTGCAAACGGGGCAACTTATTCCATTTCTCCAGTTCCCATGTTTCCAACATAGAAGTACACACTGAGCTTCGGAAATGGAAAAATACAAAATCTTCACAATGGCAAGAGTTTAAAAAACATTATTTTAGTTGTGTTATACCTTAAAAAAATAATACATTGATGTATGAGAAATATGGAAGCATAAGAAAATTATTTACATATTTTGAGGACAAGAAATTGTATCATTTGACGAAAGTCTGCACACATAACTTGTTACAATAAACAATGGCATAAAAGTAACAAAAACTTGTTATTTATCTATATAACACTAAGTATAAATATTAAGAACAAGTAAGGATTCTATTAACGGAAAATATAATGTCATATGGTTGGCTGATGGATCACGTTTTTGGAGCAGAGATCTATTAACTGTGTACATGACAATGGCAAGAAATACAGGCTGCTAAGCTCTCAACAGGGGGATCGAGAATTTTACCAACATCTAAATCCCCCTGTTTTATCAGAATTCCAATGCACCTTTCTGACAAATCTAATTTAACAAACTCATTTTCCACAGTCACTAGGGTTGTTAAAGTCCTTCTGACTAGATTTTATACAAAAATTGTTGAGGTTAATTCTTCTTAATAGATCTGGCACAGTCACTAAGACTGTCAAGATTAATTTTTCTAATAGGTTTGACACAGTCACTAAGACTGTCAAGATTAATTTTTCTAACAGATCTGACACAGTCACTAAGACTGTTAAGGTTAATTATTCTAACAGATCTGACACAGTCACTAAGACTGTTAAGGTTAATTCTTCTAACAAATTTGACACAGTCACTAAGACTGTTAAGGTTAATTATTTCAACAGGTTTGACACAGTAACTAAGACTGTTAAGGTTAATTATTCTAACAGATCTGACACAGTCACTAAGACTGTTAAGGTTAATTATTCTAACAGATCTGATACAATCACTAAGACTGTTAAGGTTAATTCTTCTGGCACAGTCACTAACATTATTACGGTCCTTCTGAGCAGGATAAAGATCATTAAACCTTCCCACTGTAGAATCACAAACAACTAAAAATTAAATCTAATAGACATCGTCTTAAAACAATTTGTATTACATTCAATTCATTGCGATATTTCCCACCTTAACCTGTGAACTTAATTTAAAACATGTAAAGAAAAAACTTAAAAAAAAGTATGGTTTACTACCATTTCATCTAATCTAATGTAATCATCTACCAACATAAATATTTTATTTTTTTGTAAACTTGGTATGCCACTTTATTTAGTGT